TTGTTATGTAAAAATCATAGATCTGATCTGACTGTTAAACAGTTAACATATCACTTGTGACAGTGATACATTTCCAACAGAACCAATCAAAATTTGTTTGACTGGAATACATTTGCTTGCAACAAAAGCTACAACACAATTGGATTAAATTATCAACACTGCACTTACTGTAGATCTGCTCCACTAAATGTCTTTGTTTGGCGGCGAGCACCGGAGGACTCCAGGGATAAAGTATCTTCTTATTCTTACCCAGTGATTTTTCCAGCTTCCTTCGACAATACTTCCTCCAAGTCAACTGGATGACACATGCAGCGATCTGCCTCCTGTAGTCCTGTTCACCTTTTAAACGTCGGTAATTTCTAGCCACCTCACTTGCAGCCCTAGACATGCTACTTCGTCGAAACAGATAACTATAGAGCGATAGTTTAGTAAGGTTTGTAAAAATTCACATACCGGTAAGACAGTTTATACTTGTTGCACAGAGAATACAATCAGGATTAAAGTCAGGGTGCAAATCAAATCAAATTTGTCAAATTAAAACTAAACACGCTTTATTAATAGAAGAATTCAGAAATATCATATAAACTATTTACATAAGAATAGTTACTATGAACTATTTACACAAGAATAGTTACTATAAACTAATTACACAAGAATGTTTACTATAAACTAATTACACAAGATTGTGTACTATAAACTAGTTACACAAGCATATTTACTATAAACTAATTACACAAGAATATTTACTATAAATATATTAACTTTCAAAGATCAAACTATAATCATCACTTGTACACAAATTTCAGTTTCTCTGATTCTCAAAATTTGTCCCAGAAAAATTACCATGGTTACAATATTTTAAACTATTCCTATTAACATTTCAATGGAACTTGTTCCTAGCAATCCAGTATTTTATTTTGCTGAATTTCTTGATAGCCAAGTTAGTTATTTTATTATCAGTGGCTCGGAAGGTTAGTAATTATTGGCTCATAACCTAACACCTGGGGTAAGATTGTCAATCACTGACCTGAACCAATAGGTGATTTTCCATTCACTACAAGATCTTGCGCAATACATGAAAGGCACGGGCCAAATATCTGCCACAAAAATCATAGGATTTAATTCTAGAATAGTTCAATTTCAAAGTGCTGAGCTATCAGGGTGGAATATGACATTGAGATACGCTTACTCTGGTAAAATTGACCATCATCAAATGTTTATATTATCCTTTATGCACTGGATATTAAAGGCTTTTGCAGCCCAGATCGTGGGGTGGAAGTGCCCAAGCTTGCGTATACCGCATTACTGAGGGCAGCAAAAGCCGTAATCATTCAATAAAGGTTTTATCATATACCTTATGTGTAATTCTAATTTTACCACAGCGTGACCTCAAACACTGGACATAATTTAGAATGACACTTTTTGTTTTGATTGATGAAAGCCTAGACCCTGGGCATGGCATGATACAGGAAATTATTACCTTGATATGAGGGCGCACTTCCCATAGCATTGCAAGGTCAGGCAATACAAGGTATATGATAATAAGCGTGGAAATACCTCAAAAATACTTTTGTGCTTGTTGAATTCCAAAGGATATTTTGACACTACTACGAACTTTGTTTGTTCTGTTTTTACATTTTATTTCACACATAACACAAGATCTTGCAGGGAACACAAATTAGTCTATCAGGACAACAATCTTTCGAGCAAATGTAGATCAGTATAATTATCATATATTGGAGGGAGAATTGGGAAATTGCTAAATATTATAATTTGTGGCAATCAAGTTGTGATTTTACACTGAACCAAAGTGTTCTCATTGTTTATTATGCTAATTAGTTGTTTTGATAACCACCACGAACATTACACAACTTTAGTAAAACTACCCGGTAGTATTTTATAGCTGTGAGAAAATCATTCAGATTAAAAGAGAGTTTCATTCATAGAGGTTTTATTTTATATATACAAGAAAGTTGTGTCTTTAACACAGTTTTATGTTTTTGTACCAATAGTCAGATTCTACTGCTAATTTTTTTTTTGTTCTGTTGATGCCCCAGGTATACTATTGCTTTAATATAACAAACCAAAACAGTTAAGGATTAAAACTCTGTACTAACAGCAGTGCTTATTTAATTATACTTTCACACTCTGACTTCGTAAGATCAAACCAATACAACAAGTATAAACTAAGATTACAGTATAGTATGCAATAAAAGTAAGCATGAATTGAGAAATATATCACCCAGTATCAAGAATTATCACACCACCATCACCTATGATCAAGGAAGCACCATAGTTTATGAGTTATTTATAAATTGTCAAAGGTCACATGAAACAATCCTTTTTATTAATGCCAAGGTCAAAGTTTGCAGTCTATGGCGAAAATAAGATTTAATTTTGAGGTCGCTGATGTCATTATACTGCAATTTTCCATTGAAAACAATGACTGAAAACAGCAGAGTTTACTTTCTAAGACATTTTAATTCTGCTTGTGATTTCTCAAGATAGTCATATCAAGAGGGCATGGCAGACTTTTGACAATTCAATAATATCAGTAATATGAAGTAGAAAAATAATGGATACATTGATCACAAACATATACAAAATGTCATGTTCAAGTAGCGAATGTTACTGAACCAAGTCAACCAGAAATGTTCGATCACGTACATTTCGGGTCGTCTCATGAACATGAACTTGCACGAATAAAAGGATTACAAACAACACAAAAATTATTAAAGTAGAGGGGTCGCCACCTATGCATGCGACTGTAATTATGCAAGCTAAAAACGCAAAAGCTCAAGGGTAGACACTTGTTTGTAAACAATGACATGCTACGGCCGTTTGCCGCATGCACAGGTGACGACTTCCCCCACTTTAACATTAGGGAGAGTAGGAATATATATATAAGTCAAAGCATCACAGTCGTCATGCAGCATGTGTTAGAATTTCATGTAAATAAACAATATACTGTAATGCAATAATTATTCGATGGTTTTCAATTTTGCTATTTTCGCTTATAAGTGAAATCTGCTAAATTAAATCCATGTGAATATGTAAAATAACAATAGAAGTCATTGTTCCTCTGCTATGTTTGTGACCTTGCTCAAAGCAATGAGATAGTTAAATTAAATGATAGTAAAAATAAATGTTTTTACAGTATTTTACATGCGTTGTATATGTCACAAGGAACCCGTATCGCACATGGCGCAGTGCAGTGCTGTGCGACGACTGTGAGGTCTTAACAGGGAAAAGCACCATTATAATACAAGAAGTACCAACATATTAAAATTAACCCCGGGAGAAAACCAAAATTAAAGTATGAAAATTTATATATACAGCACCAACATACATACATTGTAACTATAGCAACATTTAGAGGAAGGGAAAGAATTGGAATTGCATTACGATTATCATGCTAAGTGGGAGGAAGAACGCATATGCAGTACGAAACATATATCTGTGGCTACAGATGGGTTGTGGCTAGCTATTATCGAAGACATATTACAATGGAATAAAACATTACAGTGTTTTTTTACACTAACGGGTTGATAACAATCTGTGGATGAAGAGGAACTTTCAGACAAACACAATGATATATGGGTCAGTTAGCATAAAATACAGGAACTTGCACATGCAGGTATACCTTACTGTATTTATGGGAAAAATTATACTCAAATTATAATTAAAATACACCTAAATTATACTTAAAGTAGACTTAAATTATATTTAACCCTTTGAGTGCCAGATATTTTTCCCGCCTAAAATTCAGTGCAAATATTTTCACATTTTGTAAAATTTTCAGTAAATTTCATCACCATTTTGGGCAATACAGACAGTTACAGATATTGCTTTTAGTTTTTGATCAAAAGATATATCAATTTTTACCAACATTTCATGTGGAAGAAGCAGACTATATAAAATAATTTTTTAGATGGTGCCAAAAATTAGCAATGGCGCTCAAAGGGTTAAAGTACGCTTAAAATATATATGAGGTATAATGAAAATTTACTACATTTGGTGCTGGCGTATAGAAAATAAATCCATGAGACGTTTATTTATATTTTAGTAATGCAAATCATTTACTAAGCTTTTAATGAAATATATTCACATGTAATCAACAGATCAATGCATTTTATGGTGTTTCCATGATATATGATTCTCACTTAATTAATGAATACATTACTCACGTTTTCCATGCTCTCTGTATCACGGCGGCCGCTTCGTTTTTCTTCCTCCACAAGGCTAATCTGTTTCTTTCTTTATTGACAATACTTTTGTTTTTCTTTCGTTCTTCCTTTTCACGATCTCTTTCCATCATCTCTTCATCTTCAAAATTATCAGAGTATCTAGAGGATATTTACATAATCAGAAATAAATGTATAATGTCTCTTACATCTTACTGTCAGCTCTTGTCATATTTATTATGTGATCAGGAATTTAATTATTTTATTTATTTTGAGTCGATCAAACACAATTTATATGTTAGATGACTACTATACTAAGCACAAGTCTGGTCAAAGTACTAAAGGGCCACCACTAATCCATAACTTATTTTCAAAATATAAAAACACAGAAGTTACCTAGCGAGCCATAGAATATACATTTATTGCCTGGCCAAGCATCACTGGCCCCCAAAATATCCCAGATGTTCACACACTATATTTAACAATCCTACTACTGATTAG